ATTTAAAATCTTTGAGTTCTGTATGGACGAGGAACATAATCCCAAAATTTCAGCTTTCTAGCTTTTTTGGTTTCCAAGTTGGCGATTTTCCCGCCAAAACTTTGACGCGCTCGTACGCGGGGCCTAGACGTGCGTGAGGGTTGGTACCGCGGTCCTGGGGTGGCACTCGGTCGGGGAAACCACTCGCAAAATTTTAATGCCGGAGCTTGCTAGGGTGCTGAGTTGAAATACCTGGACAGACGCCCGCACACACATACACACACAGGCACGCACACTGGGGTCGTCGCAATATGCGCTTTCGCACTTGCATATGTGCAAAAACGCATCATTAGCGTGTCAGAAGTGGCCAAATGGGAAATGGCTTTTTTTCGTGAACAGCCAGGTGTAGGCTGCTTGCAACCCAGCCGCTCCTTTATGTCAGGAATAGCCTGATAGACACGGTTGGTACAGTTGATGTACTGTTCTCTGATATCATCTTAGATGGAACCGTCGATGAACATCTGTATGCTTTGCACGAGTTTGTCATCTTTCCGAGCGCAGAAAAGGTGGAGGACAGATTTATGCGTAGGACTGTCTGCGGCAGGATTTGATTTGTGTGAGACCAATCCGCACGGGAGCTGGGCTGATGTGGGAATACCAAATCATGGCAGAAGTTGATGCTCGCAGCAAAAGTCGGATTTAAGGATGAATACTTAGAGAGCGAGAGCTGCACGGAGACATCCGTCGGCCCATTTCATTCGCTCACTGAATAGATTATTTCAAAAAAGAAACAGAATGATGAAAACTGCGGCATTTTTCACTGGAGGTGAAAAATATGGAAGAAATGAAGGCACAAGTTGTACGGTTGACGAAAGGACACTCTCTCTTAGCATTTCCCGATTTTGGAAGCGGGGTTGGGAAGGTGAGAGAAGTGTGCTCATGTATCTGCTCATCACTGGGCGTGCTGGTGGGTACCGCGCCGGTCAGGATGGAATGTTCTCCGAACAAATACAGCAACGCGTCGGTGACGGCGACGATGTCAAGGAACCTGTTGAAGACAATTTCAACTGTAAAGCAATGGGCCAGTCTGTCTGGCAACCACACCTGCCTGCTATCGATGCCGTTATCCGCACATGTAAGTTCTGCTAGTGAGGCATCTTCTTAACAGCCACTCCCAAGAATACCATTACTGGCGGTCATTCTGTATTTGCGGTTGTAACAGTCGATAATCTTTGACCGTGTTTCCAGCCTATTTGCTAATGCCCCATGAATATACGCGACATTCTGGTTTTTACGCCGGTTCTGGTAGGAATGACGCATCGCTGAAGAAATGGCTAGTAGCGCAGTTCAGCTGCTCCTTGTCTATTTTTCCACTTCTAAATAATATGGCTGTGCTACGCTACCTCATTCTGCCATATGGCTTTGCTAATCTTGCTCGCCCGGTAACCGGTATTTTACGGATATTTGACAGAAATACGGACAAACAGAGCTGAACTTGATGTGACTGTTATTACCATTGGATTACTCAAACTTTGTTTAAAACAGTCACATCATTTTCAGCTCTGTTTGTTCGTATTTCTGTCAAATATCGTGAAATACCGGTTCTAACATCCTTTTTTGCAAAAAATCGCATCATACGTATAAAATAAAAAGCGAGTTCATCGCTGCATTCATTATCCTATGGTTTGACCTGCTTCTACATGGACCGCTCAGTTAATCCCAGAACGTATCTGGCAAAAAATGCATAAAAGCACTGCCATTTATTTTTAAATCAAAAGGACAGTTGGCCGTCACTTTTGAAAATGCACTGCAACCGTTCTCTGTAGCTTACGTACTTGAGAAGAATAAGCTGAACTGGTTTAATGAGTCTTGCCGGCATCTCGGTGCTGACATAATACCAGGACCTGATCAGCTGATTGTTTGGGAATCCCAAGCTAGTGGTGTTACCGGGTTGTTTTCCCACGTCGGATGCTGCTAATGGCAAGTACTGCGATACTGGACTACATATCCTGGTTTAGTGCCCAATTACCTGTTGGAAGTATATGCGCGATCTCTTCGGGCGCCGCCCGAGTGGCTGCTTACATTTTCGCGGATGCTATTCGTCAATGTTAAAGCCCACCATTGTTGCAAGGCAAACAACATACCCTATTCATCGGTTTTTATGCGTTTTTTCAGCTATGCGATGCAGAAAACGCATATTGACGAGGAGCTGTGTGTGTGTGTGTCTGTGTGTGTCTGTGTGTGCGCCTGTCACGCTTTTTCATCTCAGCACCTACAAAAGTTACAGGGCTGAGACTTTGGGAACTTAATCTACATGCACGTATGGGCCCCAATCCGAAAATGGGCACCATTACCCGCGTGTTACCCACGTAAAGCCCTCCAAAGTTTTTTACGGTAAGCTGCTAACTCGTAAGCTGTTAACTCGGGAATCAGAAGTGCTTGGAGGCTGAAATTTTAAGGCGATGTTCCCCGATCAAGTAGGTATTAATGAGCTCAAAACCAACCCCCGGGTAAGCGTGGCACCCGCGCACGAGCCCGCCAAATTTTTTTTCGGGTAAGTTCATAACTTGGGAATCTGAGATGCCAGAGTGCTGAAATCTTAAGGCAATGTTTCCCATACAAGTAGGTATTAATGAGCTCAAACCTAGCTCCCGAGTATGCGTGGTACCCGCGTGCGAGCCCGCCTAAATTTTTTTTGGGTAAGTTCATAACTCGGGGATCTGAGAAGCCAGAATACTGAAATCTTAGGGGAATGTTCCCGTCCAAGTATTAATGAGCTCAAACCCAGTCCCCGGGTATGCGTTGTACCCACGCGCAGGTCCGTGAAAGTTTTCTTTCAGTAAGTTGCTAACTAAGAAGCCAGGAAAGCTAAAAACCCTGAAATTTTAAAGGGATGTTTCCTGACAGTTCTGGCGGCCAGTCTTAATTTGTTTAGCTAAAAGCATTTGCCGAAAAAACCGGTGCCAGTAGCGACAAAAACTGCGGGGAGCTATGCAAAAAAAGTATCTTCGCATCGGCAGCCCGTGCGTTGACCAATTATTGCTTTCTTGCGTGGGTATGATGATATCCTCCGCGCTGCCCATTTTATGGGAGAATTTGATTGTTTGTATGGTTGCATGGGGATGTCAAACATCTTTCGCTTCATCGCTTCCCCCGTCTCAGCCAGCGCTCACTCTTCAACTTTCGTCAGTGACCACGTTTAGATAGATGCCATTTTTATGCCAACTGGCGAGCGACAGGTATTTTGTGTAGGCCTATTATAAATTAGCAGTGATAAGTACAAAAAAGCCTAAGTAGATATACCTACCTGGTTCGAGCCTCTGTACTGCTCTGCAGGATTCTTATAACTGCATCATTCAAATTATACCAGAATGACCAAGACTGCCCGGACATTTCATGTGTGAGTGGGGATCTCGTGTTATGAATGTTACCTGGATATTCGCGTACCGTATGTAGCTGTGCTGGGCTCATCGGTCTTGTGCTGCATGCCTTCAGCAAGCACACGCCGCTTGTATGTTCGCCACCTTTTTGGTGGCTCTGAGAATGCATCGTCTGCCGTTTTTAACAAGGCAGACAACATGCCTTGTCTATTAGATTTTACTCTCTCTTTCTCTCTCTCTGTGCATCGTGAAAGTTTCTAAATTAATTTTCATTTAAACTATTTAATTTATATCTTACTGAAGTGAATGAGAATGAGAATACTGAATACGATAATTTTTCCTCCCTTTTGTAGCATGCAGCCGTTTGTGCTCGCCACAACAGATTGCAGCAGCAGTTTAGGACACTTATTCCCAAACAGTGGTGAAGATCCGGAAAACTAAATGCGCACTCGGAGAAGGAGCTGACAGGTGTAAGTTCGAGCAGCAGTATAAATGGTACCTGTGGCTATTTCGCTGCAAACTCATTTCTTCTCGCTGCCTTTCAGATTCTCATCTATTTATGATTTTGATAATCTGTCTGATGCTGATTAGTCGCACTGCTGCAACAGTATTCTCTGAGTCACTCAAGACTTGTCGAGCCCAGTGCATTGATCACAATTTGGTAAGGAAGTTTACTGTCAGTTGGAGCTGCCAGGTCTGTGTGTAACCGGTGTTGTGCCGAGTTTTCTTGGTATCATCGTACTTATGCATAAGCTCATTTGTGTCAAGATCTGCCTTGTTTCTTACATTTGCAATTCTCAATTGCGAAGCGCTAAATGGACGCGCCCTCGCTTATAGTTTTGCAAGATGCAACGCAGGTGAATATAGTGAAGAAGTATGAATGTTTCATCCTAAATGGCTTCTTCCATTACTTCCCCTCCTACTCTCAGTTTAAAAGAGTGAAAGGTTGACTTTTGAAATTTGGCACAATTCGCGTTGCATTTTGCAGATCTCAGCCGGTGCGTGATGCAAGCAACCAGCCTGCAGCTATTTTTTCAAATCGCACAAATTCGTTGTTGTGCTTGAAACAGCGGACACAATTGTGTCTCATCCCTGTCATGCATGTGCGCCTGCGTACATGACCTGCCTACGTGGTTTTGTGTATGTGTGTGTGTGTGTGTGTGTGTGTGTGTAAATGTGTGTTTGAGCTGAAGACAGTGGTTACAAGTAGTCATTCTAAAACTGTCTATTTGTTTGCTTTCAGGCTGTGCCTCTGGCTCGTGGCTCACTCGACTGGGAAACTTCACTCTTGGCAACCAATTTTTCTCAGCGAACAACTGCGGTAAGTCATTTGCGTATGAGTGAGTGCGCGATTCAGAACACTGCATATAAGCTACGGACGCAGTTCAGGTGGCTGCGGTGACAAAGCTTGAAAATGTCACAAATTTAACATACATTCTGGGAAGAAAATTTCATATGTTTTCGTTATGCAGAAGACTTGTTCAGCGGCAGCAGCAGCAGTTCGAAAGATTGTGCATATGACCAAAGTTGTCTTTTTGTTGATTAAAATGCGTAAATATTAGGTTGTTTTCTTTCCCGAAATATTAGCTTGTTTTCTTTTCCAAAAACACCATTCATTACTGAAAATAGCCACTTGGGCGGTCTCCGGAGAAAAGGCAAATATACGTTGCATAAGTACTAAGTGCTTATTGGAGATATGCGTTTCACGACACATGAGCCTGGCATAACTGTGCCGCTGTGTTCATGCACCGCAATTCTTCATAACAATTCTGCAAGCGGTCTTGGTAATCTTTGTAAGTACCAAGTTATTCTAAGCGCGGGACGTGTCTGCAGAAAACTTCCAAAAATTAAAACGAGAACGTAAAATGGTGAAGTTTTTAAAGGAGAAGCTTTCTTGCCTTGGCTTGCCCATTAGTCAAAATTAATACACGGATTTATTTCCAGTGTCATGCTGGCTGCCAGGATTTGGTGTCTACGAACTCCACATGCGATGAACGCTGTGCAACGCAGGCTGCAGCAGACAGCTGCGTGCAGGGATGCCGAGCGGTAGCTGATGTTTTTCTTCATCGATTACAAGGTTGAGCTTCCCAGTTCAGTGCACCATTTCTTACGGTCGAAATTTCCAGCGATTTTCCTCACCACGGGCACTTTTAGTGATTATAGTCTTACCAAAGCACTTGTTTAAGGCGTTTTTTGAAAGAGCAAGTTGTTGAATACACTGGAATTTGCATAAATAAAAGTATAAATATCACAGATCAATATTAAATGTCAAAAATAGCTGGTGTTGGTATTCACTATCACTTGCACCCCTTCCCGAGTGCCTACACATCACGTTGGAGAGTGAGTTCGGATAGGATTATGATTTTTTGGTGCAAATAATTGGACAGCAAAAATCACAATAGCTATGAATAATACACTCACTGAAATTGGTCTGTGATGAAATTGAAATTCACTTAATTCCTTTATTTTCCCACTCGCTCATTAGTTGTTCATTAGGGCTAATAGTGGTTCGGATTGTTCAAGCCAGAAAACATGCGACACAGAGTGTGTCTCGACAAACCGTAATTGTCAGGGTGTGGGTGTAACTATGTGTTGATGATGACGTACATACAAGTGATAAGGTCACCAGTCGGGATCTGTGAATATATGATTTAAAAAACTTTTTTTAGGAGGATATCAACTTTTTTAAGCGAATATTTGATACGTTCTTCTTTCGACTAGCATTCTTTTTTCCAAGCCGCTTCACGTTCCCTTACTTTGCCTAATTGCTCCGGTCATGGCTGCAATTATTGCCAGGTTGATGATCAGCTAAAAGCGTAGATGGATCCAAGCACGCGATAGGTCTTTTGTCCCCCTCCCCCCCTCCCCGTCCCTTCCAGTAGCACTGACACCAGTGTTGC